CCCGCCCCCCCGCCGCTCTGCGTACAGCCTTGAGTGGGGCTGACAAGCCTTTTCTAGTTAGTAGCTGTGGCCCGCAGCCATCTCAGGTGTGTCACGGTGTATTTTAGCAGGAGTGTCCCTCGATTTAACCGTTCACTTTCTTAACTTACCCACCCTTTGTCCAAATGTTGTTGTGAACCTAGAAACATTTTAAGTAGACGTAAGGGAGGCTTTATTTAGCTCAGCATCAGTTCAGTGTGTAGTTTTCTGTACAGAAATCACTGAAGCTGAACGCAGTGTGAGCCCTGAGACCTTGTCCCTACTTGTCGCTTGTGATTAAATGACCTGATCGGTGTTCTCAGGGCAGACTGTCGTGGCCCAGCCTGTGCACGTCCAGCAGCTGCTGAAGCTCAAGCAGCAGGCCGTCCAGCAGCAGAAGGCCATCCAGCCGCAAGCCGCCCCAGGCCCGGCCGCCGTCCAGCAGAAGGTACTGGGCTCCCGGTTGTCCCCTCTTTACGTGAGTCGGGTCCTGCTGCCAAGCGTGGGGTGCACGGAGGTGGATAGGGTCCTGAACCGGCCCTGCTTGGCTGCCTGGCCTCCACGCACCGGAGACCCCGTGGTTGTGGCCTTGGGCTGCACATAGGATGGCCTTGGGGCTGGCCCTGGAGGGAGGGCATGGTTCACAAGATGGGGAGCCCCCATGTACTGCGGGCTCGTGGGGGCAACTGTGAAGGACGCAGGCTGTGGAACTGCATGACTGGGAGGGGCTGGAAGGACTCGGGGAAGCAGGTGTAGCTCCTGGTGTGCGACCCATCTGGGTGCACAGGAACCGGCTGAGGACCATCTCCGTGTGTGTGTGTGTGTGTGTGTGTGTACGCGTGTGTGCATGTGTGTGTGTACGTGTGTACACACGCGCTCGCCATCAGCGGATGGACGGAGGGAGGGGAGAGAGGGGTAGGGGTACTGTGAGAGGAGTGCTGTCAGCGACCCTCTGACTCAGAAGGCTGGGAGGCAGCTCTGAGCTGATTGAGGCCCCAGAGGCGAGTCCTCCTCGGAGGCGAGGGTTCGGGGCCGTGCTGGCAAGCAGGAGCAGAGAGTGCAAGGCGCTCTGCTCCCCAGGGCTTCTGCCTTATCTGCTCCTGGTGGCGGAAAGCCCGACGCACAGATGATGACATCCTGGTTCTTGACCTTCCTGTTGTATCTGTGCTGTTTTCTGAACCGGAGCGAGCCAGCGCCCTGTCCCCGTGTGCTGAGGGCTCTGCAGGCGGCTGGTGCCCCTTTCCAGAAACTGACAGACGCGCAGAGACGTGAAGTGACTTCTGGGGTGGGGCGTGCCGGGCTGGGAGGCACTGTGACAGGACGGAGACCGGGCTGGGTCATCGCGGGGGCTTAGCCAGCGTCTGAAAGAGAGAAGGAGAAGGGCTTTAGCCAAAGTGCCAGTCGGTATGTTCACGTAACTTGAAAGGAGACTTCTGAGACGTTAAAACTGTCCAAAGCTGTGGCTTTGTAGACCGAACATATGGGCCACGTACACGCATGGCTTTCTGAATAGTATTTAAATGCTTCTGGCAGGGAAACCTGAAAATTAGACTAAATGTGTAAAGATTGTGTGCACAGGTTTGTTTCTGTTTGTGCTAAATAGTTTTGAGTATGGGCCAAATTCTTAAGGTTAGATTTGGGAAACGGTGTGTGTTTTCTGTATTGTCAAGTTTGCTCACTTACATGATGAGCAGACGTGGCACCAGGTGCCTCAGAGGATGGGAGATGAAGCCCAGCCTAGGCCGGGAGGGGACCTCCCAGCAGGGGAGGCGATGACCCAGGACCGGGCCCCCCAGGGGGGCCAGCCGCAAGAGCAGGGCAGCGGGCAGGCAGGGCCAGGAGCCGGGGTGGCCACGCTGCGGGCATCCGGGGGCAGTCGGCGCCCACGGAGGAGGCCCGGTGGCTCTGAGAAGGGGACCCGGAGCCTTGCCTGCTCTAACCCTAGGCGGCCTCTCTTTCCTCAGATCACGGCACAGCAGATTGCCGCTCAGGGCCAACCACAGAAGGTCACCTACGCTACCCAGCCAGCCCTTAAAACCCAGTTTCTCACCACGCCCATCTCCCAGGCCCAGAAACTGGCTGGGACCCAGCAGGTGCAGACCCAGATCCAGGTGAGCAGCGGGGAGCCCGAGGGCTGGGAGCAGACGCGGCGGGCGCTCGGAGGTAGAGCAGGGGGACGCCGC